TCATGTTTTCCGGCCCGTTTTTGCTCATATCTCGGAGGCAAAATGAGCAAGAACGCTCATTTGTACATCATTCTAGAGAGAAGTAAATGGGCTTTGTAGAAAGTAAGCCATCGATAAGGAAATGCTGGCAGTTTTCCCAAAAAATGTTTGAATTCAAGAAGTTTTAGGTTTGCGTGGTTTTTTTTACGCAACAAACATACTGACAAATAAGTATTCGGACGCGTTTTAATACAACTATCTTAAGGCAAATTTTGGAAAGAAGGATCAACATCTTTCGCTGAAATGCTTTTATATCTACGATTTGGCCAGTGGCGGCGTCAGTTTTAATTTCCGCTTGGCGAAAAATATTTTGTTTTCTTCTTTGGCCGAATACAATGTAAAATATTTTTAGTTATTTTTATTTAACATAAAAGCGTTGCAGATTCATTTTTAGTAAGCACTTATTTTTATCAAACACAAAAACAGAGTTTAACAATACCTTGAATGTCCCAATATGAATTTACAATACACATATCTACGAGACTTTATCTACTTTCGTAGAATAACGAAACAAATGTTACAAAAATATATTTCACAACTGAGAATATTTTTGTAAATGTTATTATGCTGGAGACAAATGCTGAATGAAATTCGCTATAACACTAGTATTGTAATAAAAAATATTATAAACAAATCTATTTTTTTAATTGAATAATTTCTTTTACTGAACGAAAGTAAATTTGAAATATTTAAATTAACGAATAACATTATAAACATTGAATAAAACTTTAATAAGGTGTGAAATAATTCAATAATGAAATAGTTATTATCGCAGACCATTAGGAGGGGCATTGTTCTATTATTGTGCTTAGCATCAAACGACTATAATTTACTTTAAATCGATTTTTTTGCAATATCTTTTTCATAGTTATTCTTAAATATTTTTTAATGCTCTAAGTGCTGAAAGTTCTTTCAAAACTTGCACTGGAAGATGGTACTGCCATTGCAATATTACATAGTTTATTCATTTCATGGGAGACTAAACTAATATCTTGCAAACGAAGTTTATGATCTGGGCAGGGATTTATTTTTAGATTATTCATTTATACTTAGTGGTATCTGGCAAATGACTTTTCAATTCAAACTACACATTAGTAATGGTTAGCTAAAGAAGTAAGAAAAAATGGATTAAATGTACTGTTTTTTTAGGAAAACTTGCTACGATCGGCTGCCTTGAAAGTTAATGTAGCGATAGATCCAAATCAATGACTTATTTTTCCTCTATATGAAAATATTTGACTCTTGTCCTAGCAGGAAACAAGTAGCTACCCAAATTTAGATTAGAAAATAATTTATTAATATCAAGTACCTAAAAATTTACTTTTCAATTCCTGAACAACTCGGAATGTTTTTACGTTCATTACCATTATTGTCGAATTTGATCTGATTTTTTTAATTAGTAATTATTTATATCGCTGTTAAAAGAGGTTGGGCGAGACAAATTTTGGTTGGGCGCTCGCCCAAACTCCTCCACCCCTAGCGCCGCCACTGGTTTTGGCATTGACTCCATTAGAGTTTTGCAATATTCCGGGGTGAGGGAATTCCAAATGTTTTAATGCTGATGATCGTTACACAATGACTTCTTCATCTGACGCCATAAAGTTTCCGTAACATTTAAGTCCGGGCTACTTGAGCCCCACGGTAAAACTTACAAATTATTACCTCCAAACTGTGCTGTTGAAATATACAATTTTTGTTTCCAAAGTATTGTTTCATTGTTGGATTATTCATGATTTGTTGATTCATTTCCGCATGTACAGTTTTAATAGCAAACTTATATTTGACAACGCTTTATATATATTGTAGATAAGTTCTATATTGTTGAGGCGGATTCATTTTTACAAACTTCTTTTTGGGTATTTCGCCTCAAAAATTTTTGTCTTTAAAAAAGAC